GTGTGTGTGTGTGTGTCGTGTGTGTGTCGTGTGTGTGCGTGCGCGTGTGCGTGTGCGTGTGCGTGTGCGTGTGCGTGTGCGTGTGCGTGTGCGTGTGCGTGGGCGTGCGCGTGCGCGTGCGCGTGCGCGTGCGCGTGCGCGTGCGCGTGCGCGTGCGCGTGCGCGTGCGTGCGCGTGCGCGTGCGGGTGCGTGTGCGTGTGCGTGTGCGTGTGCGTGTGCGTGTGCGTGTGCGTGTGCGTGTGCGTGTGCGTGTGCGTGTGCGTGTGGGCGTGGGCGTGTGTGTGTGTGTGCGTGCGTGCGCGTGCGCGTGCGCGTGCGTGCGTGCGTGCGTGTCCGTGCGTGCGTGCGTGTCCGTGCGTGCGTGCGTGCGTGCGTGCGTGCGTGCGTGCGTGCGTGCGTGGGTGTGTGTGTGTGTGTGTGTGTGTGTGTGTGTGTGTGTGTGTGTGTGTGTGTGTGTGTGTGTGTGTGTGTGTGTGTGTGTGTGTGTGTGTGTGTGTGTGTGTGTGTGTTTGTGTGTGTGTGTGTGTGTGTGTGTGTGTGTGTGTGTGTGTGTGTGTGTGTGTGTGTGTGTGTGTGTGTGTGTGTGTGTGTGTGTGTGTTTGTGTCTTGTTTGGTGCGGGGTGGGGTGGGGTGGGGTGGGGTGGGGGTGGGAGCGCGCCCGCGCGCATGTTCCACGCCAGGCAGTCTTCGCCATCGACGCCCTGAGGAAGAGCGGCATGGACCAGGAGGCATCCCTTCGGTTCCGGATCCGGGCCGCACAGATAGATGGAAGGCTTTCTCAAAATGTCCCTAAATGGTTGGATATGGCTGGGTGTCCTGGTGGTTTCCCTTGACCAACCAAAAAAAGGTCCGCCGTTTTGACACGCGTTCTGGTTGTGTGAGTGTGTGTGTATGTGTGTCAAAAACAGGCCGTGGGCGCCAAACTTGGATGGTCTGATGATGGATTCCCTGTAAAACCACTCCAAAATCAGTACCCTTGAAGAAAGCACCCAGATGTGCGACATAGTCGTGGGAAGGGGGGTTGTTTCAAGTTGCCAGGGAGACCCTTTGACAGTGACAAAGTAGTCACAAGAGTTTGCCATTCAGTTTTACAGAAATGGATATGTTCCACAGTTCTCTCGAAACCTGGGTGCAAAATAGCAAAGTGACCAAATAGGGTCCCAAGAAAAGATGAGAAGTCTTTCCTTTTTTCGGTCCAGACAATCAACTTAACTCCAGGAATTAGAAGATCTCCCAAGACATGCGATATATTCTTTGAGCTTCCTTTCAAAGCAACCCAAACAGGGTGCCCGGAAGACAAAGGCATACCTAAACTTCCACCTACCAGCGAGTTCAAGCCTCCAGGGTCCATGTTGGGTAGAGAGGGCAGAGGTCCTTTCAAAGCCAACTTAGAACTGGGGTCTTTTCCGAATTTGGACGGTTTCTGGGAGTCAAGCTCAGAAAATGGGGTTGTTTCTCCTTCACCACTGTGGGTGACTTTGCTCACGGCCAAAGAATGAGGCGAGTATAACCCTTTTGATTGGAACGCTTCCTGTTGGTCGCCTTGGAGATTGACTTTGCATCGAACGGGAGGTCCAGGTGTATTGCAAGCAGTGCCTATTTAGGTGTCTCTTTGCAAACTCTAAGAATCTCCCTAGACCTGTCACTCTTATTGTCATTTGTTTCATCCTTTGATTGGATTCCGTTCCTGGTTGGCGGAGGGCTAGAACACTTAAGCATCGTGTGTTTGATTCATGTACCAGTCAGGCACGGTTTCCGCCAGTTTTTTTTGCAGCGTGAGGCTGCCGAGATTGCAAAGAAGGCCGAGCAGCGACTCGGCATGAGCCTGAACGACCTTGACATTCAGGTCTGAGCTGAGATAGGCAGATGCTTTAAGCAACTGCAAAGCCCGACGGTCGTCCTTTTACTACCTTGCCACCTTGGGAGCAAGGGTTGGTTGTGGCTAAAGCCAGGATTTCGTCGTGTGGTTGCCAACATCAAAAAAAAGGACCACCGTCAGGGGTGGTGGAGCTAAGCTACCAAAATTCGTACGAGGCTTGGACGGTGGCTGAGTTGACAGAGTCCCGGCACTACGCACCGTCCCCTGGCCAAAGCACTGGGCCTAAACTTGGTTTCCCGTGGGTGTCCCTTCAAAGCACTCCCCAACAGTGGAGTCAAACTTGGGATGCTTGCAGACTGAGGCTTGAATTTTGGCCAACACCGAAAAGGAGGTCCTGTTCCAGATTGTACCGCTTGACTTGAAACCACTTTGGCCAGGGATTAGGACCGCCTGTTTTCACTCATGTGTTGCATGCGGCCTGGGCTGAGCAAAAGAGACGGACGCACCTCACGCTTCGCGTAAAACTTCTGAGTTTGTTGTTTGGTTCTAATCAGTTTGGCTTCCTGGGTCAGTTTAGTCGATCCATGGGATTCCACTGGGTTAACTTCGTCAATCTCATTTGCCAGCTTTGCTTTGCATCTTGCCCAAAAGGACTAGAGTTGTTTTGTTGCGCAGATCCCAGTCCGAATGTTGGTCAAAAGTCCGACAGCCTTTCTCCAGAGTGCCCCCTGGATTACTGTGCTGAGACTGACGTTTGAATTTTCATTTTTCCGACATTTTGGGGCATAGTGACCCTCATTTACCCCTTTCTCTGTTGTTTACTCCTAGTTTGAGGGTTCACCTTCAGGGGTATGGTCCAGGCAGAGGCCGGTGAAACCTTTGGGCTTCTGGTCAGCTTCTGAGCCAAGTCGAGTCGACACGCATGGCCCACGGAAGAGCTGCCTTCGAGGTGGGCCAAATCGGGATATGGTTGGGTTGGGGTTCCAATCCAATTTTCCAGAAGTTGTGGGAAGGATTGAGCCTGCTGGGGGCGATCAAAGGGAGGCCCTGTCTCGGGAAACATGAAGAGACCCAATTGTTTAAGCCGGCCCTGTTTTCCACACAAGTTTCTGAAGCCTGGGTCCAACAATCTGATCCAACCCGTCAAGAGGTTAGAATCCCCAAGGAATCATGTTTTATCTAGACACCCCCGTGTAAAGCCTCAAAACAGGCTCCCCTCCTCCATTTTGAGCTCGACTCCTCGCCCGCACCAGGATGGTTGATACTTAGGGCCGTCCTCTGTTGCACCCTTTTGGTTCAAATTGCGTGGTTTTTAGCTGTTCAGTCCGCCAAAAAGCCAACAAAAAGTCGCCTCACTCGGCACCTCCACTGCCCTTCCCTGTCGCACGTCGCGATGTTTCAGGCCACAACCTCACGCTTCTGGCGCAGGAGCTGCGATTTTTGGGCGGCAACGCCTTCGCCCAGGAGCGCTTAGGGGCTTTGGGGCTGAGGGGGGTCGCCTTAATGCGGTGGTTGCGGGGTGTTCAGACAGGGGGGGGGTGCGGAAGCAAGCCAGAAGGCCAGAGCTTGGAACTGTAGGTCACTTCGCCAACTTGTGAGGGTGGGGGGATCCTTGGAATGTTAGATTCGGTAGAGATAGCTGTTTGGAGGATTCACAATGTGAATGATTTGTCCTAAGTCGAGCGGCTGGCTTTGGGGAGTCCTTGGGAGTGGCCCATTTGGATCCACAACTTTCCTCAAGAAAGTTGGGATGGAATCTGCCGTTTGTGAGTGGAATAGCGATGGGCAAGGGCAAGAAGAACTCCTTTCAAAAGTTGGGAGCACCTCCTCGAAAGGAAGTATGCTTCCCAGGAGTACGGCGCAATACCCACGCCCTGACCTCGGGCGACCTGGGCTCAACCGGGCTCGGAATCGACGAGCGGGCGGAGCCAGAGATCAGAGACCTACATGGCTTTTCTGGAAGCACATGGATACCTGTTGGTCGGTTCGAAGAGCAGCCCAAGAAAGCCATGGGTTTTGTTTTCGGGATCCAAATCCTCGAAATTCTGGAGCCCAATTTCGGAGATCATGCGAAGGAACAATGTTGTGCCCATCCGAGGAAGGAACTGCTGATGCAGCGCATGCCCAGCTGGGCTCGGCATCTCAGATGGGGGGCTCCGGAAGCAAACCAGCCACATGCTGCCTGATGAAGTTGGCGCTTTGGTGCATTTTGCTTGGATGTGAGCACTGACTTTTCGCCAACTAATGGGTTTTCCATTCAACCACTAAAAGTTAAACTTTTAGCAGGGGAGCAGAAAGCAACCGAGTTGGTTTGCTCCAAGCGACGATCTGACCTAAAGCGTCGCAAATTGGTTGGTGTCTCTTGATTTCTCGTTGCCCGTCTTTGGATCACCCTGATGAAGCTGGGTGTGGCACCGTGTTTTTTACTTCGAGTTTTAGTTCATCTGATCCACACAAAAAACTCCACGAGCTATCGCAGGATCAACTGGTAAGTTTCATGTAAGTTCCATGGTCTCAGGAGAAGTCCAAGTCCGGAGCAGCTGAGGTCTTCGTCACGACAATTCGCCTCGCCCTCTGGGGTTCTTCAAAGTCGATCACTTGCATTGGATCCAGCTCCCAATCCTACCCCCCCCCCCCACCCTGCCCCGAATCATGATCCCACATGAAGACCCTTTCTTGGAAGGAAACCATGGGAAAGGGTGGTTCGGGGAGAGGGGGTTGGATCCTATGAATTGATGTGAGGTTTTTGGCAGCCGCCGATTCGTAGATTTATTGATATTGGCAACCCAAGTGCTTTAGGACGCCCGACCAAAACCATCACCAAGGCGTTTATGTTATTGGGCAATATGTCAGGCGAGTGCTTCAACAGACTTCGGGTTGTCAAAAGGCCCCGCAATGAGGTCTAACTCGCGCAAGGAATCACTGTGGGTGCCATAACCTGGTTACAGCTGTTTGATGTTGTTTTCCGGATCCTTCGGAGAAAGTCACAAGATTCCTGTAGGGCAACGTTTGGGGATGGAACAGAGACGCGGCGCTTCCCGCAAAGCTTGTTCGATTGCCAGCCCACGGTTTCCAAGCCCGAGGTGACCCTTGGTCACGCTTCTGGAGCCAACTGCGCCACGAGATGGCGGGACGCCAGTTTGTGGGGAGATACCCTCCCACCAACTAACATGGAAGTGGCAAAAGGCCCTTTCCAAGAGAAAAGTCGTCTTTCTACAGGGGTCTGTGCACTTGGTGGGAGGGCAAGTGGTTGGGAATATCCAAAGGAATCCCGACTGGTTTTGGGGGAGTGACATGGACCAAGCTTGGGAGATACATGTGCGTGCCTCGAAATTGCGGAGCCCCAATATGGTTTGTTGGGTTGAAAGAGAAACCAAGAACGCGCATTTTGTGAGGCTCCTCCATTCGACAATGGGATCGACCCACGCCTTCCATTTGCGATGTACTTGGCCTGCTCTTTTCTCTGCGTATGTCACCTATCTAGGTGTGTAGCCCCCCCCCCCCGCCTAAAAAACAAAAGAAATAAACAACGCAAACTGATTTCCCGGTTGGTTTCCTTTGCATCCAACCACAAAGAGGGTACCCAAAAAAGTACAAAGCCATCTGGCTTGATGCTTTGCATTTGTGTGATGCAGGACGGTTTCATAGTTGGTGTTAGAAAGGCGTAGTCTTGGTCTCGAGGTGTGCCAAGCTTGTCCTAAAACAGGTGGCAACAGGACGCACCCGTATTCCCTACTAAGAAATAGCAAGACAGCTGTTAACGTAAGCAGGCCGTGTACCCCCCCAATGCCTCCAAGCTGCATCTATACAGCCATACTATAGTCGTTTCGTTTGCCTGTAGTTTCGGAGCAATGTCCAATACTATGTTGGTACCACCCGAAACGGGGTGCACTGAATAGCACTCATGGTTGACAACCACTGTAAGCTTTCCCGCACTGCAGATTCATCCTTTCTAAAGAAATATCCTTCGGGAGCAGCCCCTTCGCAGGGGACCAACCAGTTTTGGGCGTCTCTTTCTGCTAGGCGGGCTGCCTTGCGCATGTCAAGGCGCGGGTACCTTGGCTTGCCGAGTCCTTCGGCACGCCCTTTGAGCTTCGAACCTTTGGGCGGGTTGCTTTAACCCCAGCCGCGCCGAAACGATCGAACTTCCCAGAAATGGGGACAATCTGATGGTTCTGTCGCATGGGAGTAACTTACTGAGGAAGCTTATCCGGGCCCGAAGGCTTCCTATTTGCCATGGCTGGTGGCAATCTAGATCTTGCAGTTGCAGATTCCAGGAAGGTATAGTTTCAAAGGTCCAGAAAAATGAAAACATTGGTTTGGCATGCTTGCAGACTGAAACCAGTGAACCTTTGGTAGTGGGTCTCTGTCTCGGGTGGAACGGGGTGGGGTTGGCCTCCGTTGGGTTGGCCCCCAAGACGAAACAACAGGAGCCCAACCATGTTTGGGGTACCCCATTTTGGAGCGCATCACATCTTGCTGCCCTCAACCTAAGATGAAGAGCCCCGGTTCAGAGAAAAATGATCAAGCATTGGTGGGCTGCGTTCCTACTGCGGCTGAGTGATCAACAGAATCGATGCCATGACCAGCTTAGCCTTCGAAGGCTCTCGCTGTCTGCATGGCTGGCAACCATCACATGTGCTGCGCTCAGTGCAAGGCGTTGCTTCGTCGTTCCTTGCTGGTCTTTAGGGAAAATATGCATGGCAGCGGTAGAAGTAATTATGTGCATACGTCTATATGCATATTACGCAGGGAGAGGGAGAGAGAGATACACACTATTTCATATTCATATATACTTTTAGTTGTATGCACTTCCCACATTTATATATATATATATATATGTATAAATATATATATATATATTGCACACATGCATTCCTATGTATAGCGATGCATAGCGGACATCGTGTAGACATGTGCGTGTGAGTTTTGCGGCATGACCAAAAGGGAAGCAAGGTGTCGCGACTCCGTCTGTCTCAGGTTGGGATGGTGGTGGTCACCTTCCGCCCACATCGCAGCCTCCCCAATTTTCGGGCCACATGGGGCAGGGACAGCCAGCGAGTCGCTCTCTCAAGCCGCTCGCGGGGATCAATAGGTCAGTTTCTGAAGGGTCGTGCGAGGGTTCAACATCTACAAGTGGCTTTTGTTTAGCGAACCAGAGGTGTTAGCTGGGGTGGTCATCCTAACCAGGGATCCCCTCACCAACGCCTTAGTCAGAGGCCTTTGCAGCTTGATCCAGTAGCCTGCAACAAGGCCTCAGTGAGGTTTGTAAGGAGAACCCAACGTACCCTCCCTACAATCAACCTGAGACGTGACAGGTCTTCCAGGGAGGCGGTCCCTTGAAAGGAAAATGGTCTTCCAGGGCCCTCCTGTCAGGTTCCATGTTAATTGCTGGGAAGGTACCAAGTCTGTTTTTCCTTTGCCGATGTTTCCCGGGCTTAGCTTCCCGGCCTGAGGATTCTGTCCTGGGTGTGCCTGGCTTCCGCATCTCGCGCCGCGCCAATTCGCTTTCCACGTCCGCCAAGACGAGCCGCCCGCCCAGGGAATCCCCGCACATCTACGGCCCGCACCCTTGCACCACATGGGCGGATCCGCTGCAAATTGACATGGAACCCAAGATTCTTCCAAGATGAGATCCCTAAAACCGTGGTTGCTTGGGTGCCACGTCAGCTTGCAGGGGACGAAATTTCAGGGAAATGCGTAGAGAGGCGAGATGCTTGATGGGAACAAGAGATGCTTTGAGGTGATAACTACTACACCCGCGTGCTGCTGAACCGCACCGACCTGTCACAGTCGGAGACCCATAGCTTCAGATACCATTGGTTTGCTTTCGCGCGCATGCGCGTCGTGTCACGTGAGGCCACCGCTCACTCTCAAGGACTACGAGGTGGGGTTGATCCGCTGGGCGGAAGGTCAACAAATGGATATTCTCTCATCAACATGCAGACCATCACGTCCTTTTCAACCCCCCCTCCCCGCCCGCCCCAGTTTCGGTTTTGTGGGTGGCAGCCTGGGTTTCTTCCCAGCAAAGAAACGGGCTTCCAAAAAAAAGAACGAAAGGGCTCCCAGGTGGCCAAGTCGATCCTGTTCGAGCGCATGTCGGCGGTAATTGTGGTGGAGGACCTGACCGGCATGGGCCATCACTGGGTCTCCTTTCTTAAGCGGTTTCCGAGTCGCAAATGCAGGATCAGTTGTGAAGAGTTCAGAGATGTTGGTGTTCTTTTGTTTGGTTTGTCTCAGAACTGGGGAAGTCAAGGCGTGTTTTCCATTCAGAGTCTTGTTCGTCTTTGTGGTCGGTCCAGCCCATTGAACCTGGCAGGGTCCCCTCGCGGCTTAGCTGGTATGGGTGTTCTACCCTGTACCTAGGAGTGATACACGGGTTGGCAGGACTGTGTCGGTGCCTTGGGGCCGCGATCCCTTTCAAGCAACTTCAACAAGGTTCCCCACGGAAGACAGACGCCCCTCGTGCCGAAAACGCGAAGCTTCCTTCGCTAGGACTTTGCACGCTCAGCCTTGCAGCTCGCATGCAGCCTTGGTCACGGTCCCAATGCTTGAGCATCGGTCGTGCTTTCTGGCTGTCTCAAAAGAGGGGAACACCAAAACTGTGGCTTTCCTTTTGATTTCCCTTCAAAGCCAAGATGAAAACGGTGGGCTCAAAAACACAGACAATCCAGGAACTCCATGTTTTCCTTGGACATGCAGATACTTGCAGTGAACGCACATCTTCCCAAACTTCATGTTCTTCACTTTGGCACTTTTGGTACCCTTTCATTTGGAAAGGAATTAAGTAGCCCACCCTTTGGGCCGATGCTAGCGAGAGGATCCATTTGGCTGTGGGTCAAAACCAAGGGTACCATTTTGGGGTAGGTGCACCACCCATTTTAGTCTGTTTTAGTGTGGATTCACTGGGGGTACGATTTGGCTTTTGACCCATGGCCTTTTGAGCGGTCGAGGATTGGACTTGGACATGGCCCGGCCTTTGCTCCGCACCCGCGTGCGGCCATATGAGCACAATGAGGCGGGATCCCTGGAGTGCTCGATCGCTGGGGATTTTGGGTGCCCATTGGGATCTCGCAACTGGGTGGTTCCCAGCCATCCCCTTCGCGTTAGCCTTTTAGTGTTTGCTCCCTCCCAACTAACATGGAAGTGCAAAAAGGCCCTTTCCAAGCGGAGAGTAGTCTTTCAACGGGGGTCCTTGCACTTCCATGTTAGCTGGTGGGAGGGTAGTGGTAGTCTCCATTTAACCCACTACATGTTAAACTTTTAGCGGATCTGCCGAGACAAGTGATTGATTCTAAGCGTAGGTTCACTATGGACCGAAAACAAACATTTCTGATGTCTGGAAGTTGAAACATGACATGTGTTCAAGAGGTGAGTTGTCTCTTAAATGGGGAACCCCAATTTGGTTTGTTTCTGACAAGTGGCCCATTGTTTAATGAATCCCCTGATTTGATCCTTCAACAAACCTAGAACTGACACTTCGTTCGAGAACGTTCTATCTTTCATGGCTCGCTAGATACGGACCAGAATGTAGACACGTCATTGTATGGACTTGTATCAGAGGTGCAGTTTTCTTGGATGTTAGGACTTTAGCTTTTTGCCAACTGATGGGTTTTCCGTATTAAACCACTAAAAATTATTCACTTTTAGGGGAGCAGATTTCGCAAGCGAGTTACTCCCTTGCCTCTCTCCACCCGGAAGAGGCTTGCTCCGCAGCCTGGTTTCTAGGGACCCGACCCGGGCAGGTCATGTTGGAGATCCCAACAGAGTCCGAGCTGGGCCCTGCGGATGTGACGGCCTTGCCGGCGTCTCGGGAAGTTTGCCGCCAAAATGGCCATGGGTCATTTGAGCCAAATCGGTTAGCCCCCAGTGCACATCGCACTCCCCACTAAAAGAGGTTCTAAAATGGGTGGCGCACCTACCCCAAAATGGTACCATTGGTTTTGACCCAAAGCCATGTGGCCATTGGACACTACTTAGTTGGCGGGTGTTTGGATGCCTACGTGCAAGGGTTTACAGGGAGGTTAACTGTGGTTAGCCAGGAGTTTCTAACCACTTGAACCCCCCAAACTTCGCGTTGCAGGGAGTGATTCTCACGGCCCAGTGGCCGCATTTGAGCGCTTGCCATGAGGCGAAATCGATTTGTGGCCAAGAACAGGCCAGGGGCTCGAAATTTCGTTTCCGTGGCCCTAACCAAAGGGGAGCCATCTCAATGGGCCGCATGCCACTTGCTCGAAGGTCCGGACCATCCCAATGCCGTACAAAAGAAAGGTGTGGGGCCCGGGCCCAGAGCCCAAGAAAGTTCCAACTTCGATTTTGGGCTACCATGGGAAATGGGGCACAGGAAGGTGAGGCGAAAAACCACTTTCCGGCTCGCAGGTCCGGATGGGGTTCCCCTCTTTTGCAGGATTTCAATGTGGATCCGCAAGAATCGACCAAAACGGCAGGCTGGATTACGGCCTCTACAACGAGGCAAAGAGGATTTCCGCCGGGACCTTTGCATCAAGTGACTCACTCGATGCATCTCAAGTATTGTCACCCCGCATCAACAACTCCAGTGGATTAGGCCCCCTCCATGATCCGGAGCCTCTGACTTGGGGACACCCACCCATCAGAGGCTTAATCCTGGAATACAAATTTTAATTTTCCATTTTGTTTCCTTCTTTCTCTGAAAGAATGTGTCTTGCCTGCGCACGTGTTATTCACTTTCGCAAGTTCTGCTTGCAGTTTCCCTGAGCTTCGGATTCCCAGTCCTGAGCGGGGGCATGCCGCCAAGAGGGCCATAAGTTCCTTTGTGGGTACAAAGGTCCCAACGAGACTGCCGTGGAAGCCAAGAAGGGAAGGGCACTACCCCAAAGGCGTACAAGGGCGATAACGTGTGGTTCTGATTTTTTTGGGGGGATCTCCTGCCGCATTTTATGCTTGACTGTGAAACAGGATCTAAGAATATTATTTACATGCTGACGCGACACAGCCGGCCACCGGGCACCTTGCCCTGCTCGTTCTGTCACTTCCCTTTCCTGTAAGTCCGATTAGTAGATGTTAAGATTTTCAGATTCTAACAACTTTGAGATTCTAAGGGTCTCAGATTTGAAGACTGTCGGAATTTAAGGTTTCAATGGTTTAAGAATTAAGGTTTTAAGATTCAAATATTTAAAGTTTTTGAAGGTTATAACAGCCAGGCCATTGCCCAGCCATTTTCCATCTATTATCAGATTTCGAAGGCTTTAAGATTTTATTTTTCGGAGATTTTCAGATTTGGCGACTTTCGGAATTTAAGATTTTAAGATCTCAAGATTTCAAGGCTTCAAAGTTTCAAGATTAAGAGTTTAAGGAATTTAAATATAGCCCGGATTGAAGGAATTTTATTATATTTTACTTGTTTATGAAGTTAAGATTTTCAGATTGCAATAGTTCGAGATTTAAAGAATTTAAGTTTTGAAAGCTTTTCAGATTCTGAGATTTTAAGACTTTGAGAATTTAGGAAGTTCATATTTTTAGATTTTAACATCTGAAGATTCAAAGATATTCGGGTTTTAAGAAGTCAAGATTCGAAGACTTTAGGATGTTTATATTTTCAGATTGTAAGATTCGATCTTCTAAGGTTGTAAGTTTAAGATCTTGAGGTTTCAAGATTTCCAAATTTCAAGAGTAAGAGTTTAAGACTGTAGGAATTTCATATTTTAAGAGTTTAAGATCGCAAGATTCTAAGACATAAGGGTTTTAAGATTTCAAGATTCGAAGACTTTAGGATGTTTTTATATTTTCAGATTTTAAGATTCTAAGTTCGAAGATTTTAAGATCTCAAGATTCTAAGATTGATTGTTAGATTTAATTTAAGATTTTAAGAATCTAAGACTTTAGGATTTTGAGATTTCAATCCAGGCCATTTTCCATCTATTTTCCATCCACTTTAAGATTTTAATATTTTCAGGTTGCACGTTTTTCGGCAAAGTTGGCCCGACTTAGGGGACAACATCCCCAGCATCCCCCGAGACTTTAGGATGTTTTTATATTTTCAGATTTTAAGCTTTAGGATTTTGAGATTTCAATCCAGGCCATTTTCCATCCATTGTCCATCCACTTTAAGATTTTAGGATTTTCAGGTTGCACGTTTTCGGCAAAGTTGGCCCGACTTAGGGGACAACATCCCCAGCATCCCCCGAGACTTTAGGATGTTTTTATATTTTCAGATTTTAAGATTCTAAGTTCGAAGATTTTAAGATCTCAAGATTCTAAGATTGATTGTTAGATTTGAATTTAAGATTTTAAGAATCTAAGACTTTAGGATTTTGAGATTTCAATCCAGGCCATTTTCCATCCATTTTCCATCCACTTTAAGATTTTAAGATTTTCAGGTTGCACGTTTTCGGCAAAGTTGGCCCGACTTAGGGGACAACATCCCCAGCATCCCCCGAGACTTTAGGATGTTTTTTATATTTTCAGATTTTAAGCTGTAGGATTTTGAGATTTCAATCCAGGCCATTTTCCATCCATTTTCCATCCACTTTAAGATTTTAAGATTTTCAGGTTGCACGTTTTCGGCAAAGTTGGCCCGACTTAGGGGACAACATCCCCAGCATCCCCCGAGACTTTAGGATGTTTTTATATTTTCAGATTTTAAGATTCTAAGTTCGAAGATTTTAAGATCTCGAGATTCTAAGATTGATTTTTAGATTTGAATTTAAGATTTTAAGAATCTAAGACTTTAGGATTTCGAGATTTCAATCCAGGCCATTTTTTATCCATTTTCCATCCACTTTAAGATTTTAAGATTTTCAGGTTGCACGTTTTCGGCAAAGTTGGCCCGACTTCGGGGACAACATCCCCAGCATCCCCCGCATCACCGGCATCATCCGCATCAATGTCCGCCAAGGATGCGGATGATGCAGGTGATGCCGGGGATGTTGTCCACTATGGGCACCCCCCAAAAAACACTCGTTTTTTGACTCCGCGGGGAGATGCTCAAAAAGCCGCCAAAAATCGCCTGAACAAATCCGCAAATCCTTCGCCCCTTATAAGGGTGGGCCCAGCGCAAAAGTTCGGCACATGGTCGGCGGCATGGAGCGGACGGCCTTATACCTGAAGGTAGGCCCTGCGGGCCTAGGCCTTCGGCGATGTCACGGCCAGTGCCGCTGACCCCATACAGTTAAGTACTCCAAAGAGGGCTGGCTTCTTTTTGGCTTGCCTTTAAGGCAACCCAAAAGAAGGGCACCCTCAAACAAACACAGCCGCTAACAGAGCACAAGCAACACGTTCCTTTTGGATGCTACAAACATGGTTGTCCTGCGTAAATGATCGGACCTGTTTATGTAGCTCGTTGGCTCAACCGGTTTGATGACCGTGATGATAACTATCATCGTAGCATCCTCGGCATCACCAGTGCCGGCTAATAAGAGATGATGATGACCATGATGATAGTGAGGATAAGGGTGAGGACTGTGATGATAATTTTCATCGTAGCATCCTCTGCATTGCCAATGCTGTTTAACGTTACTTTTGAAATGCATATAAGAAAGTAAGAAAGAGATGATGATGACCATCAGGATGAGAAGAGTGATGATGATGATGACGACCATCATCATGATGATGATGAGGAAGATCCTGATGATGACTGTGATGATAACTATCATCGTAGCATCCTTTGCATCACCAGTGCTGCCTAATAAGAGATGATGATGACCTTGATGACAATGATGATAAGGATGAGGACTGTGATGATAACTATCATCGTAGCATCCTCGGCATCACCAGTGCCGGCTAATGAGAGATGATGATGACCATGATGATAATGATGACAAGGATGAGGACTGTGATGATAATTACCATCGTAGCATCCTCTGCATTGCCAATGCTGTCTAACGTTACTTTTAAAATGCATATAAGAACAAGAAAGAGATGATTCAGGATGGTGATGAGAAGAGTGATGATGATGATGATGACGACCATCATCCTGATGATGATGAGGAAGATCCTGATGATGACTGTGATGATAACTATCATCGTAGCATCCTTTGCATCACCAGTGCTCCCTAATGAGAGATGATGATGACCGTGATGATAATGATGACAAGGATGAGGACTGTGATGATAATTATCATCGTAGCATCCTCTGCATTGCCAATGCTGTCTAACGTTACTTTTGAAATGCATATAAGAACAAGAAAGAGATGATGATGACCATCAGGATGGTGATGAGAAGAGTGATGATGATGATGATGACGACCATCATCCTGATGATGATGAGGAAGATCCTGATGATGACTGTGATGATAACTATCATCGTAGCATCCTTTGCATCACCAGTGCTCCCTAATGAGAGATGATGATGACCGTGATGATAATGATGACAAGGATGAGGACTGTGATGATAATTATCATCGTAGCATCCTCTGCATTGCCAATGCTGTCTAACGTTACTTTTGAAATGCATATAAGAACAAGAAAGAGATGATGATGACCATCAGGATGGTGATGAGAAGAGTGATGATGATGATGATGACGACCATCATCCTGATGATGATGAGGAAGATCCTGATGATGACTGTGATGAGAACTATCATCGTAGCATCCTTTGCATCACCAGTGCTCCCTAATGAGAGATGATGATGACCGTGATGATAATGATGACAAGGATGAGGACTGTGATGATAATTATCATCGTAGCATCCTCTGCGTTGCCAATGCTGTCTAACGTTACTTTTGAAATGCATATAAGAACAATAACAGAGATGTTGATGACCATCAGGATGATGATGAAAAGAGTGATGATGATGCTGATGACGACCATCATCATGATGATGATGAGGAAGATCGTGAAGATGACTGTGATGATAACTATCATCGTAGCATCCTTTGCATCACCAGTGATGATAATAATAATAAGGATGAGGACTGTGATGATAATTATCATCGTAGCATCCTCTGCATTGCCAATGCTGTCTAACGTTACTTTTGAAATGCATATAAGAACAAGAAAGAGATGGTGGTGGCTATCATGATGATGATGAGAAGAGTGATGATGATGATGATGACGACCGTCATCATGATCATGGTGAGAATGATCATGATGATGACTGTGATGATAACTATCATCGTAGCATCCTTTGCATCACCAGTGCTGCCTAATAAGAGATGATGATGACCGTGATGACAATGATGATAAGGATGAGGCCTGTGATGAAAACTATCATCGTAGCATCCTTTGCATTGCCAATGCTGTCTAACGTTACTTTGACGACCATCAGCATGATAGTGTGATGATAACTATCATCGTAGCATCCTTTGCATCACCAGTGCTGCAGAATAAGAGATGATGATGACCGTGATGATAATGATGACAAGGATGAGGACTGTGATGATAACTATCATCGTAGCATCCTCGGCATCGCCAGTGCCGGATAATGAGAGATGATGATGGCCGTGATGATAATGATGATAAGGAACTAGCATCGTAGCATCCTCGGCATCACCAGTGCCGGCTAATA